ACCCCTGGGTAGCCCTGTTACTCTGTCTATAGCAGCAGAAAAAGAGTAAGAGTCCAGGAGCACCTTAAAGACTAACAAAATTTGTGGAAGGGTGTGAGCTTCCATGAGACACTGCTCACTTCTAATGCAGCAATTGTGGACTTCTAGGTTTACCTGCACCAAATGGCAGAAATTCCTCTCTGGCCACAAAATTGCCATCTTTGTCCAAGAAATGATTCGGGTTGAACCCCTCAGGAGTCTCCCAGCGCTTGGGATCTAGAAGAACAGAGCGTAGGTCTGGAACAACAATGGCCCCCTGCCAAGAAGAAAACAGTGTCTCAGAATGCATCCGGATCAGAACATTTCATGCTTGTCCCTCTCTGTCCCCAAACTAATCTCTGCATGGCTCCCATGTATATTTCAACCTCCTAGAACTCGGGGCACATGTCTCCATAGAATCATAAGAACATAAGAGAAGCCATGTTGGATCAGGCCAATGGCCTATCCAGTCCAACGCTCTGTGTCACACAGTGGCCAAACCCCAGGTGCCGTCAGGAGGTCCACCAGAACTACAGAAGCCCTCCCACTGTTGCCCCCCCCCCAAGCACCAAGGACATACAGCATCACTGCCCCAGACAGAGTGTTCCATCTGTACCTTGTGGCTAATAGCCACTGATAGATCTCTGGTTCCTATGTTTATCCAATCCCCTTTTGAAGCCGTCTATGCTTGTAGCGGGCACCGCTTCCTGCAGCACCGAATTGGTTTCATGTGCATTAAGAATTAAAAAGATGCTGTGTATTATTCAACACTGGAGCTGGGTGGTTTTGGTGTTCTCCTTTAGAGGAAGCAAGGCAACCTGAAGCTGTCAGGGCCGTGAAGTGGATACACAAGTGGAGACACAAGCGGCAAGATGAGTTTTTTTGAAGAGGAATAATAAACATCTATATTTGGACTTTTCACTGTTTGAGGAATTTGACTTGGACTATTTCTGAAGGTGGAGTCTTTGCGAGAGCCAGTTTGGTGTAGTGGTTAAGTGTGCGGACTCCAATCTGGGAGAACCGGGTTTGATTCCCCACTCCTCCACTTAACAGCTGCTGGATGACCTTGGGCAAGCCACAGTTCTGTCAGAGCTGTTCTCTCAAGGGCAGTTCTAGAAAGAACCTCTCAGCCCCGCCTACCTCACAGGGTGTCTGTGGTGGGGAGGGGAAGGGAAAAGAGTTTGCAAGCTGCTCTGAGACGCCAAGTGAAGGGCAGGGTATAAATCCAATCTCCTCCTCCTCCTCTTCTTCTTCTCCTCCTCCTCCTTTGGAACATGTATTCTTGAGCTTCTGACAATTACATTGTATTTTTGAAAAGCTACTCTATTAATATAGCTTTAGATTAGCATACTAATTGAATGTTGAATATATATTTTCTGTTATTTATGCACAGTTCGATCTTTTGATGTAGCGGTGAAGTCTGTGGACTCTAATCTGGGAGAACCGGGTTTGATTCCCCACTCCTCCACTTGCACCTGCTGTATGACCTTGGGCAAGCCATAGTTCTGGCTCAGCTGTCCTTGAAAAAGAGCAGTTTCTGTCAGAGCTCGCCCAGCCCCACCTACCTCACAGGGTGTCTGTTGTGGGGAGGGGAAGGGAAAGGAGTTTGTAAGCCGCTCTGAGACTCTGAGTGAAGGGCGG